CAATGTGCAATTTTTTAAACACACTATAAGTGTAAAATATTCTTCAATACAATATCTACTTTAATTCTATTTTTTTCTTTGATCTATATGCACTAAGAAACATAAATCCTACAATAAAAAAATTTGCTATATAATAATAAAATATGCGTTAAACTATTAGAGACTATATTCTATTTATAAGCTTATATGCTGTAAGAAAGAATGCAATACACATGCAATTTTCTAAATACACTATAATTAAAATATTTTCTACATGATATCTGATTTAATTCTATAATTATGTATTTTTCCTTCAGACATGACTTAATTCTATAATTGTATTTTTCCTTCAGACAGAAATACTTTTGCTGCTTCAACACAAGACTCGTATACTTGAGATATAAAATACCAAATAGTCACTTTTTGTAGTTGTAACGCTCCCTAATTTCAAATATAAACCACATGCATACATATTATAAAAATTATATTTTTATTGTTTCTAAAAGAGCAGTCACCAATACTGCAATGGTCATTCCTGAGGTTTATATAAATCTATATAAATAACAGCATTATTACATTTGTCCGCACTGAGATATCGTTACTGGAATTTTTGGCTTGTTGTTTGGTCCCGTAGGGACATTCTCAACTTTTCTCATCACAAGAAGACCATCAATTACCCTGCCAAAGACAACATGCTTGCCATCCAAGAAGTTGCACTTGGCACAGGTGATGAAGAACTGACAGCCATTGGTATCCTTGCCACTATTGGCCATAGACAACAGTCCGGGCGAGTCGTGCTTCAGAGTGAAGTTTTCATCCGGGAACGTCCCTCCGCTGTAGATGCTCAGTACTCCGGTGCCGTCGCCATTCACAAAGTCGCCACCTTGTATCATGAAGTCCTTGATCACACGGTGGAAGATGGCACCCTTGAAGCCGAGTGGAACGCCATCCTTCCTGTATTCCCCGGTGCAGAACTGTCGGAAATTCTCCGACGTTTTCGGGCAAGCGTCCTCGAATAATTCAAAGATCATGCGACCTATCTCGGTAGTCCCCACCGACACGTCGAAGAACACCACTGGGTTATTGGGGTTTCGCAGCTGAGCCTGAATCTGATTCCAAGTGGGCATGTTGGCGTCGTTCTTCTCCTCGAATTTGTCGCAATCGTCAGACACTCACAGGCAGTTCTGAATTCAGCCTACGCAGGGCGAACGCGTCGAGCAAAAGTAGCCTTCTACGTTCGCATATCAACAAGAAACATAACCTCAACGCGCACTAGCTCACGCGTGGTCTTAGGTTAGGTTAGGTTAGGGTTGTGCTTCAACCTGTAGTGCGTATTTCGCGCGACGTGATTGATAACTGATATTTACGAGCAGCGCATTGCTAAGGACGAGTCTCGTGTCGATAACGAAAGCGTTTCTCAATGTAAACGTACTGTTCACTGAGCTTCTGCCTCACGTATACGTAAATAGAAAGTACCGAGACAAATTTCGAGGTTAACGTCTCACGACGTGGCAATTTTCGTGACGATCGAAGAGTCCTTACTCGTGATAGAAAATACTATTAATAATGATCACGAAATACACAGATGCATTACCGTCTAACGGTTGCAAACATATCAAAATGGCGCCTATTTTGATTCACTTACTTCGTTCGGCAAGAAGTGCGGCCGAATTTGAATGGAACGAACTTTGGTAGCCAGGCGATGACACGATGTGATTTTCCACTCAAAATGTTCCCACGATGACTCAGGACGGCCAAAGGGCACAGAGACCTCTTCAATCCAGATAATACAACCAAAAAATCATTAAAAACTACACATACTCAAATATCATGTTTATTCCGGCGAGTCACGTGACCAACTGTTCTCCCAACGGTAAGTCTGTTCCTTAAGCTGGCCACACACATTTTCCATAACAGTAACCGTAAAGGCCAAATCACACTAACGATTGACGAATAGATGATTGACGATTGAAGATTGGAACTTGACCAATTGGAACAAAGCAAGCCAAGACTGAAGCTTGTTGATTCGTTAAAATCTAATCTTTAATTGTCAATCGTCAATCGCCAATCGCTAGTGTGATTTGGCCTTAAGACGTAACGCAAGAATTGACCAATTACCGAGTATTCACAAAAATGGCGACCTTACAATTCGACGATTCTCAACATGATTGGTCAATTCTTACGGTACGGCTTACGATTACTAAGGGACGTCTACATTGCAAGTAAGTAGTAAGAAGTAGGAAGTAAGAGTAAGAAATTGACTAACCACAGTCGAATATGAGAAGAATAATCAACTATAATTGATCAATTTCTTATTCTTACTTTCTACTTTTTACTGCTTACTTCCAATGTAGACGCCCCTAAAGTGTGTGTGGCCAGCTTTAATCCCGATCAACAATAGATGTAGGAGGCTTTAAGGGACGTCTACATTGGAAGTAAGCAGTAAGAAGTAGGAAGTAAGAATAAGAAATTGACCAATCATAGTTGATTATTCTTCTCACATTCGACTGTAGTTGGTCAATTTCTTACTCTTACTTCCTACTTCTTGCTATTTACTTCCAATGTAGACGTCCCTTTAAAGGTCTGGAAGGAGTCGTAGCCAAATCCTGAATTGCGTTTGGAAACCTCATGCGGCAAAGACACATTGCCATCTGTGTGTAGGTCATCGACATATAGAATGGACTGCTAAATGAAGTGGTGGGAGTAGGAACAGATGTAGAGTGAGAGGCAGACAATAGTAGGACATCTTCCGTCTCTGTTTACTGAAATCTGATTGGCTGCAGGAATTTCAGCAATACTGTATCCTGCGAAAGTTATGACTCCTGCACACAGGACGCGGTAATGCTTACTGCGCGGCGGAATAACCTTCTAGCTCTTATGGAAAAACAACATATTGATTGGCTGTTGCGCGAACTTCCGCCGCGCGGCAAGCATTACCGTGTCCTGTGTGCAGAAGCCATTAGCGTGTCACGCATCGCGTCGTCCGAGTTAAGTCAATCAAATCGTCCCATTTTATTGTGTAACTTTACGCCGAATAAAATAAGACGATTTGATTGGCTTAACTCCGACGACGTGACACGTGACGCGCTAAGTGGGAACTCAGCCTAAAGATAGAATGACGTTTACAGCGCCCAAAGCGAACGCAGCCTAGAAATTGTAAAGTAATCCCTTGTCCACAACTTTGTTTTAATCTTTAAGCCGTAAGATATTGACCAACCACAGTTGATTATTTTTAAAATAATCGACCGTGGTTGGTCAATTTCTCATGATTTAAAGATTAAAGCAAAGTTGTAGATAAGAGGGCATAAGCCGTAAAAATTGGCCAATTATAATCGATTATTACAAGAATAATCATCTATGATTGGTCATTTCTTACGGCTGACGAAACCTATTGTAGACCAAGCCTACTACTGCAAGGAGAATAATTAACTGTGATTAGTCAATTTTCTTCCACAACCTTGCTTTAATCTTTAAATCATAAGAAATTGACCAACCATAGTCGATTATTTTAAAAATAATCAACTGTGGTTGGTCAATATCTTACAGTTTAAAGATTAAAGCAAAGTTGTGGATAAGGGATATATAATGTAGACCAAGGCTTAAGATTGCTGCATTAAATTACACTGTCTACACTTCATATAGAAAAAAAATTATAGGATCACAAAATAGTTAATAGTAATATTATAGGATCACAAAAAAGAACAAAAGCAGCTATAAAAAAAAATAGACCTGTTGTATATAGAAAATATTACACACATTTTGGCCCATATTCTGAATCCTCTTTTATCGATAAAAGTGCCTTAAATGTAGCTTCTCAGCCAATCAGGTGGCTCCTAAGCCTCTTTTCGAGGCACTTTTATAGATAAAAGAGAATTCAGATTATGGGCCTTTTTCTTTAAGAACGACTTTGGATGCGATTTATTAGACGCTTCGGACGTTTTGTAGCGTTTAAAGAAGTCATGATTAGTTTAAAGAAGTCATGATTAGTCTATACGGCGCTTCGAAGCATTTGTAGCGTCTAATAGATCGTATTCTTTAAACTTTTGTTTATGTACGTTTCTACCGATGTCTATTAAACTTGTATTCGACTGATTAGTTTTCTTACAACCTTACTATTTGTAATTAATGTAGAACTGGCCTTATTTTTTCGATACTGTACTTTAATCTTCTCGTTACTCCTACAAATGATCAACTTACAATTATGGCTAATGCAATCAAAGGTCCATAAATGAATAATTAACGATTTTACAAAATAAAATGCGTTTTATTAGTTTTGATTGCACCTTGTATGTTTTACAGTGTCAATGCCATTTGGATTCCTGTACTAGGATATCTCTATAATGACAGTCTGCTGGTTTAATAAAAATTATATATTAATCATAGGGCAACGTATGAAACAAAACTGTAATGTATCTGATTGTAGATTCCTTTTTATTTCCCCACGATATGTAAATCGTTTTAAAGAGTGCTGCGCGGTTTACGTGTGTCTCGATATAACTTTATAATCTAATTATACATATTTTTTTGGAATTATGTTTAACATATGCTTTGTCTAAATGTATGTAAAAATAATTTGCAACATTCTTTAATCCATTGTTCGACTGTGAAATATGAAAAGATGATAATTATTAATTCTATAGTAAAAAGAAGTGATAATTCTATGGTAAAGAATTAACTTTAACAACATGACTTCTCTCTCGATAATATATCATACTAATATTTATGTACTGTACCACTGTAATAAGTAGTAAATGAAAAAAAAAGTTTGAAATACTAGTAAGCATAATTTTGTACAGTAAACCTTAACAAAACCTTTGCAGGAAAAATATCTTCTTGAGATTATAAGAATAAAGATATAAATATCACTGAGATTGTTTGTTGGCTCATAGTGCTTTACGCTGTACAAAAAACAACTGGCTGTTTTGCATCTATCCAATTATAAAAACAACAGTATCTAAATACTCATGTAGTGACTCCTTGTTTTGCAGAAATGGAATAAAACTTTTAGAGGGGAAGAATTGAACTCTACAGAACTCCAAATAGCTCCACAGAAATAACAAAATTAAAAACTGTCCCCATATCAATTACAATGAATATACATTGACAAACCAAACTCTCTGTTTAAAAGTCCCATAATAAAATATAAAACATAATTCCCCTCGTGTTCACCCGAATGGATGAATCTTTGAATTGATTTCGCTGAACGTGTCTTACACAAAAAGAACGAATGCAATGTACACATTTCGAACACAAAAATCACAAATCTAACCAAATGACAAGAGAGAGATATACATAGAATTACTATAATATAGTATTTCTCAATATAAGTATATAATATTTCTCAAATTCAATAAATATACTATTTTACAAGTTATGTACAGTAACTTGGCGACGCCAAAGTCCCGCTCTATACTGCCGTATCTCTTTGCCTTTTCGCTTTTCACATCTCCAGAAGCTAATCTATAGCACTTCAATGTATACCCGAATAGTTCGAAAATGTTCGTAGCGTGTAGGCGAACTCCTGATCTCTGATTTGAATATCACTGGCAGTAAAGGATTATTGCATTCATTGTGCGTTACTTTCATTACTGTTCCACACACTTTAGAGCGATATCGGCATGCGCGGTATCAAAAACCTGGACAGAGTCTAGTGACGGAGTGTAACGATGAAAATTATATATGAATTTTGATGTGCTCCTTAAGCCTATGCTTGTCGTCGAATTCCTCCGCGCAGATTCCGCAGGTGAGGTCCTCGCTCTCGTCGCTCTCGTGCTGTTGGTACTGCACCACCTGGATGACCGCCGTCTGAGGCGCGTCGTCCTGCATCAAGGGATCTCTGTTCTCCTGACTGACGACGCGACTCTTCTCACTTTTCAGCTGTGCCTGATGAGTCACCATCGACCCTATGTCCACCTCGCTGACCTGTACGATTTGGCTGGAGTAGTCATGGTGACTCTGCGGATTCGGTATCGCCAAGACCGGCAACGACTCGTTCTGCTTGGATATGATGTTGAGAGTGTTCTGTTTGGCGGATGAGGTTTGGATCAGATGCATCGTCGTCATGTCACCGCGTCTGATCGTGCCGTCGAGTGCGCCACCCGTGGACTCTGTCGTGGCCGACTGTGTGTCGTTGCACTCCTCCGATGCAGCGATTACATCGAGGGAGTCCTGGTGATTCTGCTCCACCTGGAGTACATGGATGTTCTCGTCCTCCTTGCCCTCGACTATGAAGCGTATATTGCTGTGCTTGAACTCGGATATCGCGATGAAGCCGTCGCCACGCTTCTCCGTGGTTACGACGACGTAGGCGTTGGCTGATTTGTCATTGATGACGTGCAGGTCGTTTGGTTTTTCGACGTTGTCCGTGATCGACAGCAGGGCCTCGTTCTGTTCCGTTTTCGAGATGAAGTGATCCATCATATTCTGCTTGTTTGCGGACGCGTTAACGCCGCACGACGATGTCGACGAAGATGAAGACGACGACTTGGGCTTGGCCTTCTTTTTGGCCAACTTGGACTTGGGGTAGCCGTCGTTGCTCTTCGCTTTGGCCTCGGCTATCATCTGGTCGGAATGCTTGACAATATGCGCGCAGAGCTCGTCGCGATCCTGGTTTAGAGCGCCGCAGAGCGAGCAACGATAGGGCGGATCGCTACCCTCAGTTTCGTTTTTACCCGCAGCGTGCACCCAACGTACGTGTTCGCGCAACACTACTTTCTGGTTGAACGCCCGCGTGCACAACGGACACACATGCGGCCTCTCGCCGGTGTGGATCCTCTCGTGCTTCCTCAGAGTGCCACCATCTCGGAAGGATTTCCAGCAGAACTTGCAGCCGTACGGTCGCTCTCCCGTGTGCGTACGGTTGTGGATCAGATAGCCCTGACGCGACGAGAAGGTTTTAGAGCACTTGTCGCATTGGAAGTGCGCCGGACTACCCACATGCGTCCTGCCGTGCTCCCAGAGACCTTGGCGCGACACGAAGCTCTTGCCACACTCGGCGCAAGTGTGCGGCGAGTCGCCGGGATGGTCCGACAGTCGGTGCTCGTCCAGTTGCGACTGCCTCTCGAACTGCGCGCCACACACCTCGCACGAGTGTGTTTTCTTCCTGTGGATCCACTGGTGGCGGAACATCTTCTGTTTTGTCGTGAACTTTTTGCCGCACTCAGAGCACGCGTGCTTGCCCCATTTGTTATTGCTCACGCCTTGTTCAATATTGTTTCGCATAATTTTCTTTGCACAGGTGGTCTGGTGGGTGACCAAGTGGTCGCCGTCCTGGAACTGCTTGTCGCAGTACTCACATTCGATCGGCATGTTCCAGTTCTTTGCGACGTGGTGAATTTTTTCGTGGGACGCCAAGGCGGTTGCGCGTGAGAATGCGATCCCACAGTGCTTGCAGGTATAATGCTGCTGCTGTTGCGATTGCTCCTGTTGTGGTTGCTTGGCACCGTTCGCCTGTTCGATCTGCACGTAGCCCTTCCTGTTCTCGTTGTTGTAGGAAAGTGCCTCGACCTTCACCACTCCGTCGTGAGCCTCGAACGAGTTCAACGACAGATTGAATTGCTGACCGCCGGCCGGATTGCCTATATTGTTCTGCTCGGCGTACTCGAACTGCGCCACCTCGCCATTGGACATAACCGTAAACTCCTGCAGCGTGTCCATCTTCTCTGGCTGACTCGACATCGTCGCCACCGTCGACTGCTCGCCCTGGAAGTTGTACGACGACACGGGCCACTGCACCTGGCATACGTCGTAGCTCTGCATCGAGTGATGTACCGATGAAACCTGCGAGGTGTTGGACGAGTCGGCCGCGTCCTCGGGCCATTTCCTGAAGGTCTCCTGAGCTGAGTGAGACGCGCCACCGCTACCCTGGGACTGCATGATTGCGCGGCCGGCGATATAGGTATGTATTTTCATATGATTAGACAAGCTGGAGGGCCTCTGGAAAACAGAACCGCAGATAGTGCACTTGTGCGGCCGTTCCACCTGGTGCACCTGCTGCACGTGCGACTGTAGACTGCTCTTGGAACGGAAGAGATTACCACACGTTCTGCATGCATGAGGACGGTCTACCTGATGGCACACCATATGATTGCTCAAGTCAATCTTCCTCTCAAATCTCTCACCACAGGTGGTGCAGGCCAGCTTGGATGCGCCGCAGGTGGACTGATGCTTGGCCATCTCGTCCCTACTGAAGGAATTCTTGCAGCTGGGACAACTGACCTTCTTGTCCTCGAAGCAGGGGTACATACCACCCAATTGGCGCAACGCCTCCACTGCCATGGACTCGTCATCACCCGACGTGTACTGCTGCTGCTCCTCCTGTTTGATGTACATCGGGTACACCACGTGATTATCGTCCTCTTCGTCCGACTGCTCTGCGAGCATTTCACCCTGCGACTCCGTGATCTCGGCATTGCTGACGGGGACTTCCGCGAGCTCCTCCTGCAGCACGCACTCCTCGACGCCGGGCTCGCAGATCTCCTCATGGGAGATCATATTCTCCTGTATGGCATCGTGCACGTCGCCGAGCGGGAACGTCACGAACTGCTCGCTTTCGTGGTTCTCCATTTGACTCGTCGAGATCACTCGACAGAGCCTGCGTATGCGAGACACGAACGGATCTCAACTACGTCAAGTCAAGAGAGCGTTCACCCAATGTGCTGTCGCGGTGCAACGCACCAAGCTAACCTAGTCTAACCTTAAGTCAAGTTGGGTCCTGTCATCGCTCGCGCCAGCTGCACCGTTGCGCGTTCCCGGGTCCTGGGATTGACCCAGGGCAGTGATGTGAACCGCTACCGCGCGTCTCGACAGTAGCCGCGCACTTCCTCTTCACAGCCGTCAAAGAAGATATGTTCTCCTCGCCTCCGATAGCAGTATCGGCGCGGTATCTGTGGGCAGAAGTGCAAGTTTGACGAACGCTCTTGCGGGAACAAGACGGCCCGTCGTGGCCCGGACTGTCGTCGCGACGGCGACCTGTGCGCTGCAATTCGCGGAGAAATTACGTACTCTCGCACTCGATGTTAAATCCAAGTTCCAACCTGTACAAGTTGCGATCCCTTGACGCTGCGAGGTTATTCGCGGAACAGTGCCCCGTATCGGACATTGCGTGAAGTTGTGCGCAACGGTTCGAGAATCGATAGGGACCGTCGAGATCTCTATGCTGGAATCTGTATCTCGTTATTGGAGTTAACGACGGTTTCGTTATCGTTGCGCAGCTTTTCTACGGTATAAAAAAGCTGCGCAACGATAACGAAACCATCGTTAACTCCAATAACGAGTTATGGCTCCTGCACACAGGTAATGCTTACCGCGCGGCGGAAGTTCGTGTGACAGCCAATCAATATGCTGCTTTCCGTAATAACCTTCTAGCTCTTACGAAAAAACAACATATTGATTGGCTGTCGCGCGGACTTTCGCCGCGCGGCAAGCATTACCGCGTCCGGTGTGCAGGAGACTTCAGACTTCAATTATTGACTGAGCGCACTCTAACTTTAAGTGGCCCTATGCCATTGCATAGATAAATGCTTCCATCGTATATGTAAGAGACAACAAAAGATGAATTCAGATAGAATATCTCACGCTTTGACGAATTTGGAAATGTAAGAAAATAGATATGAATGAGTAGGGCCTTGGTAGGTTCCAAAGGCAACTTCCAAAAATCACCGGTCTGAACACGTTCAAACACGTCTTAACATGCCGGCGGTTAAACCGAAACTGTCCGGTGTGCAGGAGCCATCACAGAATCCAGCACAGGTCTGTTCTTTTCAGCTGCACTGCTGAACTGTGCAATAAGTTAGAGTGAGAAAACATATACTTGTCTCACTTTAACTTATTGCACCAGTTCAGCAGTACAACTGAAAAGAACAGACCACTCGAGTGGACTCGGCAGCCGCTCGTTTAAAGATGTGTTCTTCGAGTAAGGGCCGGTTGTTCTAACTTCTTGGTAAGTTAACTGATAGTTAAATCATTTATCTTTGTCTAAGTTGGAGGAAAAATAAAAACAGATATATGATTCAATTATCATTTAACTTGCTAAGAAGTCGGAATAACAAGCCCTAAATCAAGGGCCGTAGATCTCGAGGTCGATTCTCGAGATTATTTACCTTTTTCACATGATACATACACAGCTGGTCGTTTCTTATGCGGATAATGCAAATGATGTGGAATACTGTAAATTATATTAAAATATACGAGAAAGAACAATCAAATGATAAAGCAGTCACCGTATTTGTTTTGAATATTTATTATAAACGTAATGTTTAAAAGAGGCGATAAATAGTGTAATATTTTTATTTTGTTTAACATTTTGGTTTTGTTGGATGTGACAAATTGGTAAATTAACTCTGTAAGCGTGAATGTAATCGGAGTCTATCTTGTGGGTTTTAACCTCTTAAAAATTTGTGAATTTCAAGGTTAGGAAATGACATTCGTAAATTTATATCATGATTCCAAAGATTAAATAAAGATATAAACATTTTTTAATTAATTTTCGAGCAAGAGAGCCATATGTCCTTCCAACGATATTCAAAGATTACTCACTGTCCACATAAATGACATCTTATACATGGTTTCCATTGACTGTACGTAGACGCAGAACATCATAATTTTTCGTATAAACGACAACTTTAATTAATAATTAAAAGTGTACAATCGTGAATTATCCTCTAAATCTTATTAAAATCCGCCTTTATATATTTCGTTTAAAACATCTGTCTTCCGCGGCTACATCCTTGTCGCGCAAATTTTTCGCATTTGAAGGGGGACAGAGATATATACCCGGGCTTCGGAGAGAGTGAGATGGAAGAAGTACAAAGTGTAGAATGTACAGATGAGACTGCATATTTTATCACAAAGAACGGCAACTTCATGCCGTTGGCATATCTGTTAGATATCTTTAAGGTTAGATCAGCGAGAATGTCAAATAAACAACAAAGTTTAAGAAAGAAATAAATGAACTATTAGTTTTTTTATCAATCATAATTTCTGACATCATGGAACGAAAGCAACACCACACAGAGAATCGCGCTTTCCCGAATATTGTGAAATGGCTGTTTTTCATATTCGGTTTTCCGATCGCATTACCTTGGCTAGTGTACGACTTGTTGGATATTATGTGGCAAAAGCAAAAGAAAAAAGGCCTTAAACACAAGGTATGAAGCTTATATTTCATTCTTTTATATTTTCCGTTTGGACTCATGTTATAATTTAGTATTATTTATATAATTTTCACAGTATCGCATAATGTTATATACTTATTCTATGAAATTCAGGTGGTTATGATAACTGGAGCTAGTTCTGGATTAGGAGAGGCTTTAGCTCATGTGTTTTACAAATGTGGATGCAAGCTTATCTTGGTGTCTCGCAGACAAGAAGAGTTAATGAGAGTCAGTAATGATCTAACTAGTACTTATCAGGTACGTTCCTTTTGACACTTGAACATATCATTACAAGATATGTTGATAATTTCATACTTTCTTTTTCTAGATAGTTCCAGCTTATCCACCTATTATCTTACCACTTGATTTGACCAAAATTAAGGACATGAAAAATGAAATTTTAAAAACTCTAATGGTGTATGATGGCAGCATTGATGTTCTTATAAACAATGCTGGCATTTCATATAGAGGAGAAACTATCAGTACAGACATTGATGTAGATATGAAGGTCATGATGTTAAATTATTTCTCTCAAATCTGCTTGATTAAAAGTAAGTTTGTATCGATTAAAACGTTTTATACTATAAAAGCAACAGTTTTATTTGTTATCAATTTGTAGCCATTCTGCCACTTATGGTAAAACAAAATTCTGGCCATATAGTTGGTATAAGCAGTGTGCAAGGGAGAATTGCTATTCCATATAGGTAGGCATTTGCATAAACAAACATAAACGTTTCACACTTCTTTAAAGATGCATTCTTTTGTTAAATATAACTGTAATTCTCAGATCTGCATACGCTGCATCTAAGTACTCAGTACAAGCTTGGTATGACAGTGCCAGAGCCGAACTCTATGATAAAAACATTAAATTTACGATTGTTAACCCAGGATATATCAAAACGAATCTTTCATTGAACGCTTTAACTGGAAATGGACAAGTTTATGGAAGTCAGTGGTTAAAACGCTTCTATTGATGAAACTGAATTAATATTATTTCAGTTGTATACAGAATTATATATGTAGTATCATTGTCTTATTACAGTAATGGATGAGACAATTGAGAACGGTTATGAGCCAGGATATGTAGCTGAGTGCATCTTAGAAGCTATATTGAAGAAGAAAGAAGAAATTACTATAGCACCATTTTCAGTAAAGTGTGCTATAATAATTAGGACTTTATTTCCTTCGCTCTTCTTTTGGCTCATGCAAAGACGTGCAAGAAAATTGAAGAAGAGTTCATGATTTCATCTATGTTGTTTGTAAAAATATTTCCTTTTGTTTGGATTTATTACATAAAATATATTTCTTTAAGAAGTTCTTAATATATAACGGTAAGGAAAACTTATAAATATAGTCAGATGGTTGATATTGATAGATGATGAAGTTGCTCACTGTGCAAATATGAGCAATTCAAACAATTCCGATTCTTATACATTCGCGCATTAACGTGCAATATATATCAGATAAATAAAACAGAAACACTATTCAAAAGTATATTTTATTTTTGTCGTAGTCATTCTCTGACTAGTGGAATATCTTTACATTATGTACACATTATTACTATGAAACCATACTCGGTAGTGACACTGAAATGTTCATGTAACAAGCGTGCGATCCATTTCTTGACACGAGGTTTACGGGAATTTCGTTACTTTAAATTTCGCGATAACAATCTCGATTATATATGTACAGTGATTTAATAATTCTCCCTGTAACATTGAGTCGCTAAAATTTGCAGGCTATTAAAAAATAACATATTAAACGTATGATGCTCAAATAAAAATACTGTGTGACTTTTCAAGTAATGGATGGCACATCGAATTACGGTACTGTCCGCTATATCGTTACTCTTTTTTTTTTTTTTCTCTATTTTTTACTTAAGTAGTACGCGAACTTATTTAAAACGCAATGATTTCAAAGTAATCTTTACAAAAAGGATGTCTGACATAATAGTAAAATGCGACATCTATTGTCATGACAGATCTATGTGTAATCATACGTTGCTCTAGAATAACAATTCGCATGTTCAACTTTTTATCTCGATGGTCCTAACCGTTGTGTTCAGAGATTTGCAAGATCCTGTTTACAGTAATATACTCATATGGCTTCTATAGCATAGAAGCGTATGAATTGTTCCTATCCGTCGCTTCAAATATCATTGAACGAAATTACGTGCGATCTTGGACTTGGTACAAAAATAATCACATGCTTTCATAAATCATTACATAATATTTGGTATAATCTGTTCTGATATAACGTTCGATGCGTATTACACGTAAATATTTCGTACATGTATATACGTTAATTTTACCGCGGTATAACGAGAAGAGTCTGAAATTAAATGTGTGTCATTTTTCGGTCTGACGGCAAGAACTTCGTTCTTGTGCAGCGGACTATTCTAACACAGTACCTCTGTTAATTTAATATCCAAAAGAAAAAGAAAAAAAAACAATAGCTTTCAGCATGCAGAAATGTGTTCGCGCGTGTCGTGTGCAAAATAGAACTTCTTTAATGTATCGAACGGAATCCAAGATGGATTAATCTTACAGCTCGGTTTCTCAGACTGTTTGTGCTGTGCTCATTACATTTTACTTGTCGTCGAGGCATTATTGCGCCGCTTGATAACGATGTAACGATAACACATTGAAATATGCATCGTTCATCATCCTGAGCTTGATGTAATCCTTATGGCAATGTTCAGGACTATTTACAGTTTTCATTGTTTGAGCTCTTTAGTCAATAATATGTGCAAACAAGAAGATGTACGGTCCGTTTACACATAACAACGAGTTTTTACGCCATGTGAAGAGAGTTCACGTACTGAGAAATGTACGAGATTGCACTTTTCCTTTTTTATTATTATCATTAAACAATTACAGGAATGTTTGCGACATTAATTTCCATTTGACAATATTAATGCAATCGATAAAAAAAATCTCGCGTACGTTAACGGTAGAAAAGAATGAATATCTTATGTCCATCGCCGATAAAATGATCAGGGCCTAAAAATACATTTGAGTTTCCATAATCAATGTATCCCCGATTATCGTTTTACACATTTTTAGTACAGATTGTTCCGTTGGGTATGAAAATCTAGACAGGCGACATATTCTTCAATATGCCGCATGTACTGTGTGTGTACACTTCTACCTATTCTTTATTTACAATCTAAAAATACATAACGCTAATCCATCCTTTCGGCTGTACCATCGCAAAAATTCCAAAATTCTAAGAACACTTATATTGATATTTCTATTTTTCTCCACTGCAGCAATATTGCGTGTACGGATACGGTCTTTGTAACTTTGTGTAATATCTTTGACAATTTTGCCGAGACAGAGATCAAATGTAAAATCTTAGGGAAGTGGTGTACCAAATATAAAAACTCTGGTAAAATCTGCTGTTTTTTTTTTACTTGCATTTATGAAATCACATAATCAGCATTCACCTGTGAGGTAGCATCAGAAAGTAACATAAATCAATCGTCAAAATGTAATAGGATTATATCTTATGTCATAATTACACGACACGACATTGGAAACGAGTCTGCGTTCTTCCTCAATCAAAAGACTTCCTAGGCCTACTATGCTAAGAAACAACTTGACATATTATGTGGCCTACCTCACTGCTTCTCTCTGGTATAAGTCAAAGCCGACGTCGGCGATGATTCTTTCATTTAAATGCCTGATAAAATCTCCAGGCGGTAATGCCAAATGCTGCCAGTGTAATAGTCGTATGAAGGATTCGTCTCCTCCTATCATCTTTTCTTACAAGAAACGTCGGTGACGATGGACCTAGAACAGCTAATAGTTCTACATGTGGTAGCTTGCTGGTGTCAGTCTCTACCTGATATTGGCAACAGGGATCGAACTGCCATGAGACTGTGTATAAACCACAGGTCATGAGTGAGGTGATACCTAGTGGACCACAAATATATGGTCGATCGCCCCAGATTAGACCTGAAAATAAAGCATTGCCAGATATCACTAATTAATTATATATTTTAAGCAACAACGCTTAGCTCTCTGTGTGTTACTTGAATGTAAATTCTGTTAAAATAAAATTTGCACATACAATTTTGTTTACTACAAATGAGTCCTTGTTCTGAGCTCTCTTTTATTGATAAAAATGTCTCTAAATATACTCACAAATCAAATTAGAAAATTTATAATATATTACAAGTTCTTTTATCAATAAAAGGAAGTTCAGAGTAAGAATCAGTATCTTTTGTATGCATCATGCTAACCTGTGACAATTGCAGCAAGACCTGATAAGGCAGCGGTCTTATGAAGACAATTGCCCACTGCTATCCATCTGGAGGTTTCATCACCTAATTTCGATGGCTCGATAACAATTAAATTGCATTCTGACTCTAGAGCTCGCTCTAACTCATATTCAAATGTCTCATGAGCATTCTCACTGTCGTATACTTCCCGAATAATGGCAACATTAGAGGATTCATCTCTGGAAAAAGAAACAGAAACAATGTATAGGCTAATTGTTTTATATGAACGTAATATTGCGTTGACTCTCTGGAGATGTTAAAATCCAATAATATCCTTTGGCTATATATATATATATATATATATATATATATATATATATATATATATATA